GCATGAATCCTTCTTTTTTCTTGACTGATCTTAAATGCCATAAAAATAGCACGTATTTTGTTTGATCAATTCACATGCAGTATATTCTTCATCTTTTTTCCAACAACTTTTTTATATATAGATAATTATAGGTATAGATATAGATATGGCCAAAAGGAATTAAAGGAAGGGGAGTAAATTTTGTAATAAGAGCCTCCTGCTATGACTACATTTAGTGGGACGAAAATTAAAAGTAAGGGTGTATTGCAATTTATTATGTCAAATTAGAATTATCTGGCAGTGAAGTCTGCCGTTGGTCCACCGGACGCCGCCGGTGTGGCTGCGGCTCGAGATTGTCCGCCAGGAATCGCCGGAGAATGAGTTGCCGACGTGATTTCTACAATCAACCGCTCATGTAACCACCGAACGCGGCGAGATGGTGACGTGACATTTGACGGCCAGGCGATTCCCAATCGGCGGCAGCTTGTACGGTAGGGGACGACCGGAAAATTTAGTGGGTTTTTGTATCTAAAATTGGGTAATATATAGGGGCCTAGTTGCAATTGTAAAAATTTTAGTATATTACAATTAAGCTCATCGGTCATGTTTGTAATTAATCAAAATATATTAATATTTTAGTTAATTTGTTTAATATTTAATATTTTTGTTTTATAAAAGTAAATATTTTAACATATATATATTTTATATTTTTTTTTTATTCAGCTCCGTCGGTTCAGTTATTTTAACAAATAAAATCGACATCAAATTGAAATAACCGAGATTATTCGAAATAAATATATATAATTGAATCGAAATATAATTTTTGAAACAGAAAAATTTATTTCGGTTGTGCACTCTATTTGTCATTAGTGTGCAATACGTCTAATAATATTGTGCACTCGCCGCACATTTTTTACTTTTGTTACAAATATTCAGTTTATTCCTTTTTTTAGTTGAATTAACCTAATAATTATAATTAATACATACTATAAAAAAAAATATTCACTATTTTAATTACTTTATAATTTTTTATTTTATTTTTTGTTCAAAAGACATATTACTTAATTAATAATATTTTTTATATATATTTCAGTCGATTCAGTTATTATAAAAAATAAAGCCGACATCGAACCAAAATAATCATATTTTTAAAACAAAAAATAAACAGATAATTGAACTAAAATATAAAATTCTAACCAAAAAAATTGTTCGATCAGTTTTAGTCACAAATGTGCAATCTGGCTGTTATTAATGTACAGTCTGTCTAATACGATTGTGCATGATTTTTTGTTCCAATCTAAGTTGAAATCAAACTGAATTAGTCGGTTTAGTCGGTGGATTAACTGAATTACCTTAAATAGTTGAAATTACTTATTATTTATATTAATATTATATACTATTTTAATAATTTTATTTAGTATTTTTTTATTTTATATTTTATTGAAAAAACATAATACATGAAATAATAAAATCGATAATGTGCATTTCCATATATATTATTGTGTATTTAGTCTAACGTTATTGTTCAATCTATTGAGCGGACATTATTTTATGTGCATATAAATTTTTTATAAATTTTAATAATGTGTATTTAATTAACATTATTGTGCATTTATTAATTTATTTATATAATAAAAAATATTTAGTATTTATTTTTCTATTTAATATTTTATAATATTGTTTGCTGAAAACAAATAATATATATATATGTATATGATTCGGTTGTTTTGTTTATTTATTTATTTATTTATTTTTATTTTTATTATAAATAGAAGCCGAAACAGAAATAAAATAACCAAAATTCTAATATATGTTAAAATGCACAGTGTTATGCTAACGTACGTTCTCGATTGTGTTAATATGCATTCTGTCTAAGATTATTGTGCAATGTGATAGTTACTCAAGTGAATAATATTGTACATTCTGCAGTGTTTTGTTTTGTTTTGAATAATATTGTACATTTTGCAGTGTTTTGTTTTGTTTTTATGTGCAATCTAAACAAAAATCAAACCGAAATAATCGCTTATTTGGTTGGTTAATGGAATACATAAATAATCGAACTAATTTATTATTTTATATTTATAAAAATTTATTTAATAATTCATTATTTATTTAATATTTATATTAATTTTTGTTGAAATATATATATATATATGTATATATATATATATATCAGATATATATAAATGTTTTCTTATAGTTCGGCCGGTTCGGTTATTTAAAAATAACCGACATCGAACAGAAATAATTGAATAATTAAAAGTAAAAGTAACTAATCGGATTAACACATAAAAATTCCTAACTGAAAATTGAAGTAGAAACTTAATCGAATCGAAAATTCAAACCGATATATAAAAGCAACTATTATGTTTTAATAATTTATAAATTCAATCCATGCACTTAATAGTAATAAAGTGAAAATTTCTTAATTTGCAAATAGGTCCCTTTGTAGGATTGATCGTGCATCATAAAAACAAGAAGGATATCATGATCAGTGAATTCCATGCTTAATATATCGAAGATTATGTCCAAGTCAATAGAAGCAATGCAAGGAAGAAGTTTGACTCTAAAATGAAAGGAGAAACTCGTGAAAACTTCTTACATTGAGTAGAATGTGTATAATTCTACATGAAATTTGAAGATTGTTGCATTATCTAAGTTCATTATTATTTCAAACTTCATCGAGTGTTTATGAGCGTTTTAGTTTTTCTTTTATTCGGTTCAGTGATTCAGAATCCTTACACCACTAAAGAACATAGTTTTTCTTCTTAATTTTACAAACATTTTAAGTACTTAGGGATTATGTACTTGTGTAGATAGGAAGAATCCATATCTATTTTGAAGTCCTTGTGTTGTGGACGGAGAAGTAGTTAATAGAGTCTGCTATAGTATAAATCGTGTAGGTCCAAATTGTACTCTGTGCATGCAAACCGATCTATTAATAATTTTTTGGAGGTTTGGAACCCAACAAACGAAGCGGCTCTTCTGCCTACTTCTTTCTATCTCTAGACTTCCTTATCCACCAAAATATTTATTTCTGGTTCCGGAGTTCATGTACTAGATCAACATAGAAGATCTTTGTCGTGGGACATTCCCCGAAGAGGTTTTAAAATTTATTTGTTTTCGTTTTTAATTTAGATGTTCGAACACACCTTGTGTACTCTATACTCTTCCATCTACGTTTCACAATTATAATGAGTTGGGTACTTTGTTAAAATTACGAGTGCTCTTACACATTCGCAAGTGTGTGCCAGCCCTTTCTTCTTTACCACTTAAGTCAACATGTAACAACATTTTTTCAACAATGATACGCACCATGCGTTTGAATATTCTAGGTTGAACCATTGAAGTTAACTCCTTAATTCATGATTAGTATATACTATATATATCCACACACCACTATAGAGCGGAGGCGTGCTCTGCTCCAACTCACACAGTACATTAAAGCGGGGCAAATATGCTTAAATATATTAAAAAATAAAATAAAATAAAAAGAAAGAGAGATTTTTTTTTTTGGTTTAAAACTAAAAATACATTTAAAAAAAATCATAATTATCTATAAATAAAATAAATTCGTATGACTCACCCACTTACATTATAATAACTCATATAGTATCATAACTTTATATGTAAATTTATTTAGTTGATAATTAATTTTACTTTTTTTTTATTTAATAGTAATAGATAGCTTAATATTTATTAAAAGGATAGATATAATGATTTATTTTGTATGTACAATAGAAACGTTAAATCAAATCTCCTGAATAGATGATAGTTTGACATATTGCATACAAAAGTTATTAAATTTTAAAAATATATTTATAATTTAAATTAATCAAGTATTTTATAATTTTTATACCTAATAGGCATGAAAAGAAGTCTAGTCCAAATTCACGTGGACTACTCTTATTAGTTTTTACATAACACAAAAATTGGCATATAGGATTGGATTACCAATGTGTGTTTGTTTATAAAATATACCAATTTATAATAAATTCATATTGAAAATTTAACTAAACTTTAACCTCACCACACTATCATCAATAATCAATATAATTAAATAATATCAACCAATAATCTTATACATCACATTAATTTTAATTCACTATTCATTAACTCACATAATTTTAACTAATCATCACTTCAAATCATCTATCTCCTACTTTTATATCAAATCAACTTTAATTATTTTATTTTTAATATTATTTTAATATAAAATAAAATCCTTCTAACATCTAACCATTTATATTTATAAAATTATTAAAAAAAAAAGAAAAAAAAAACTCGAGCGGATTGTATAGAATTAACATGTCCCAAGCATCTAAAGTTTAATTCAAAATTATGGAGTAATATGTCAATTTCAATAATTACCTCAAGGTTTCGCCACGACTTATATTTCTACTTTTGTGATGAATTTTAAAATAATGATTTAGTCAATAGTCGTTCAACCAAAGTCTCAATCCTTCACTTTATTAGCTGTAACATAGAATTAATCATTCGGACTTGTTTATATCATCATCCACTTTATTAACTGTATCATAACTATCCGACTTGTTTATAATCATATCCGTCTTTTTGACATAATCCCTTAGAAAATAATGCTAATTACTGCGAGCGTACAAAAAGAACATGTCATCTTCCCTTCAACAATCTAAAACATGTTTATGTTCAACCTGTTTATAAAATATTTTTGAATAATCTATAACAAAAATATTTAAAAATAAAAAATAAATAATTTTTAGAAAAAACAATCGCATTGGAATGGATTAAAAAAATATTCGTGAATCTATTTAAAGATATAGATTATTTTACTATAGAAACTACATTTTCTTTTCAAAATTTAATGAATATGGTGGAATATGGGATATAATTACAGAAAATATCTATTTTTCCCGTGTTGAAAAATAATGGATAAAATGTTAACTTTTTCACTTAAAAAAATGCAAAAATATTATACAGTAATTATGCGACAATTGTATGATTAACATTGTGTGAGAGTTTAAAATGCGAGGCATTCGCATAACTCTTCGAACTTTCTAATGTGAATATGTGACAGTTATACGACTGATATGCGACAATTATGGAACTGATATTCGCATAACCCTTCGCACTTTCTAATGTGAATATGCGACAGTTATGGCGACTGATATACGTTAATTATGGGACTGATATTTGATAGTTAGGCGAACCATTCGAAT